GTACTTTTTCTGTGACTTCTGTGCATCCATTTTAGTATTCCTTGAATTTGAGATTTAATAGTGAAGTAAGAGTCAGGGCTCGTGTGGCTGAGTTGGTGGGGCATTGTCCCACAAACTGAAAGATCCTGAGTTCGATTCCCAGTTCGGACACATGCCTGGGTTGCAGGTTCAGCCCTGGGCAGGATGCATAGAAAGGCAACCAATTGATGTTTGTCTCTAATATCAATATTTCTCTCCCTCATCAATATTTCTCCCCCTCTCTTTCTCCTTCCTGAGAAAGATCCTGAGTTCGATTCCCAGTTCGGACACATGCCTGGGTTGCAGGTTCAGCCCTGGGCAGGATGCATAGAAAGGCAACCAATTGATGTTTGTCTCTAATATCAATATTTCTCTCCCTCATCAATATTTCTCCCCCTCTCTTTCTCCTTCTCTGCCCCTGTTGAAGGAAGGCATGAAAATGAAATACAAGCATGTGAACAGAAGAGAATAACAACTTTATTTAGTGGCAGATATTATAATATCTACATAAAATATTAGTCTAATGTAAAATTATAATAATTCAAATATTTTTAAAAATTTTATTTTAATCATTGTTCAAGTAGTTTTCTCCCTTTTACTACCATTCCAGATCACCCACCCATCCCTCCCCACTTTCCTCCCATTACCACCCTCCCCTTAGTTTTTGTCCATGTGTCCATTTAAATAAAATTTTACAAGCATGTTTAGCTCATGCTTCACATAGAACTACTGAGCCTCCATGTATCAGTAATTACTCTTAGAAAATATGAAATAAAAGAAAATGATTTTCAATAGCAACAAGAGCATATTACTAGAAGCACCTATAATAAAACTATGCAAATTATTGGCAAAAATATTTATAGAACAATGGGAGGACCCAAAAAGAGCTGTGAATGAAAAAGAAATGTATCATGTTGTAAAGCTGACATTTCTATGAAAATTAATCTATACATTCACTGTAACTCCAATAAAATAACACATTATTTTCTTAGAACTCAATAAGATATTCTTCAAATTTATATGAAAAGCAAGTTGCCAAAAATAGTCAAGATAATATTGAGGAAGAATAAGAGAAGGTATGGGGTTTGTATTAGTAGCTACGAAGACTTAAACTATAACAAGATTGTAATTAAAACAATTTAGTTCTGGCCCTTAAAAGACACAAGGGTAATAGAGTCTGTTTTAGCATTGGAAACAGATCCACAGAGTCATGCAACTTGATACATGACAGAGGTACCACTGCACATAACATGTGAAATTAATGGTTTACTTAATACATGTGTGGCTTCCTTCCATGACAATCAAAAAATAAGTAAAACTTCCAAGTGGAAGAATCCAACATAAAGTAGTTGTTTTCTTCTCTCCTCTCAAAACACACTCCACATCTAGAAGAATAAGAAAAAAAAAACATACACACAACATCTTTGAGAAAACCAGAGTAACAATGGCTATTGTGCAGGGTGATAGAAGGAAGGGGATAGAGAAAATGCATCTACAGAATTCAGAAAGGGCTAGAAAGTGTTATAGCTTGATGGACAAAAAGGCAAAATTCCTGTCCCGGACTTTCTTTACCATGAAAGCTTGATTCATGGGCTGACATTTTGAGTTTCCCAGGGTGACTGTGATTTCCAGAAGCAGCTAGGACAGCTGATTTTCGAGTTGCTTGAAGATATAATACTTTATATAACCCACTGATTGCCACTGCATTCAGAACTATTGCCTAGGGTTAGTGATCCTTTTGTACTAAATTTATTAATGTCAGATGCCTTTCCAGTCAGAGACATCCATTTTGACGAAAGTTCACATCCATATACACCACAATATACAAGTGAACCGTAATTCTTTTCCTCTAAGTCCCTAGCTCGGAGGAGGGAACATTGAGAACATTGAGAAGCTTCCCCACAGCAATGCCTCTTGCTCAGATGTCTCCTAGGCAGAGGCTCAGCAGGGAAGGCTGGCATGTGCATCCGCAGTATAGTTTAAGAACATCCACAGGACTAAATACAATAATCACTGAAGAAATATATTTTCCTCATCTTTTACTTCTGTGTTTGTGGACTCATTAGTATTTCCCCTTGGAAGAAGAGAGGCAACTGAAAAAAAAAAAAAAAAACTACCAGCCAAACAATTACTTCTACAAAACGTTTCTCTGTCAACACCTCGATTCTGCTCCTGTCACCCAAACTAGCTGCAGAGTTCCTAAGACAAACCTAAAAAGCAGGACACCCAGGGCTATGCAGCTTAAAAGAAACTTTTGTCTTTCAAAAAAAAGGGGGGAACCAGGAATTCAGGAATGTTTTTATTAGATTCACGGGGTCTCCTTGATTACTTTATTGCTCATTCTTTTTCCATTGCTTCATAAAGCGTAGAGGAGAAGGTTAGGTGGTGAAGGATGTATTCATCTCATAACCATTCTAGATGATTTCTTTCTGACAAAAATATTGCCTTTTGGGGATGAGGGTGCTTGGATACTTCCAGGTTTCCTCTTTTTCTTTAATGAAGAAGACACTATGAATTACAGGACATCCTCTATTTTCATGTAATGTTGTTTGCTTGTTTCTTTTTTTCTGCATTGGGTCTTATGATTTGATGCTGTATGAAGAGCTTTTAATTATATGAAGCAGTATACCATTAGAATTCAATACCTTTGTGCCATGTTTATAAAAAACATAATACATACATTTAAATGAAAGAAAATCCCTACTATGATTATAAATCAAGCATACTTTTTTGTAGCCTTTTTCATTTTTTACTTCATAGGTAATATTTTGATCCCTAACTATTCAATTGGTTATAAACTATAATGTGTGAGAAGATATTTTGCTATTCAAATGCATATTTTGGTAATGGGAGAAACAAGAAATATATATCACTGGAAGGTCAACATGATAAGCATAGAGTAAGTGTGAAAACAAACAAGGCAAATGCTGATGGAAATTCACATTTTGTAAGATTACACTTCATCTAGGTAGAAGGGGTTATAGAATATTGTCAGATGATGATATGCACAGACATATAAATGCATATTTGGAAAACATAGATAAAAACAAGGTGATTAAAAATTAGTAGGAATATGGCAACAAGTTCAAACTAAGGTCATAATTATAATTAAAAAGTTATGAGCATTATAAATTAATAATGCAACATGGTTGTACACTTCATAGATTATAGGCTTTTTGTTTTCCTTTACCTCTAAATATTTAGACCAAGGCAGGCACTGCTAGTTGCTGACACAATATTCTCTCCTAAAGCCCTCATTGTTTTCTTCCATCCATCACAGACATGCAGAAAAGTCACTTTTTCTACAACCAGGAATGGCTATGAGAAACAGTTCTCTCCCAACAGAAATTAGCAGAAGTCTGCCTGTGTTCAAGGTAAGGGAAAGTATTAACTTTCCTAATAAAAAGAGACTGGTACAAGTGCACCTTACCTCTTTTTAAAAATATTTTCTCGCTCAGATATGGGTATAGTGTTTGATGTTAAAGTAGTGTGAGAGGAAATGCAAGTGAATCTTAGAGCCGCCAAACCTGACGGAGTCAAACTGCTGAAGCAATGCAAGTAGCAGCCTATTGGTTTCAACTACTGTGAGTTATTGGTGTCGACTACTGTAAATTATGTTTTGTTATTTTAGAGCAGTAATTCTTAATCGGTGTGTGTATGGGGCAGGGTTGATTTTGCCTTCAAATGGTCATTTGGCATTGTCTAGAGACACTTTTGGTTGTCACAACGAAGTATACTAGCGTGAGTTCGGCAATGCCGTTAAACATTCCCATAGCCTCCACCACAAAGGACAGTCCGGCTTCAAATTTCAATGGTACCAAGACTGAGAAGCATTGACTGAAAGAGTAACCCAAAGCTAGTGCTAAGGTCTGAGTATTTGTGTCCCCACCAAAACTCATATGCTGAAATCTTAATCCCCAAACATGACAGTATTAGGAAGTGAGCCTTTGGGAGGTGTTTAATTTCTGAGGGTGAAGCCCTCAAGAGTAGGATTAGTGCTTTATAAAAGAGACCCCACAGAGATCTGTCACCCCTTCCACCATATGATGAGGACAGAGTGATGGGTCTATCTTCTAGTTAGACTGACAAGTCTCTATGGACAAGCATACCCCCCTTCCCCACCCCTAAAATTCCATACTACACTGGGAAGGGAGTAGTGTTAGTCTCCTTGGCAGACTGATGCTATGATCCCCTGGGGTGTGAAGTTGTAGCTTTCTGGTGAAGCAAACAGGGGTATGCTCTCCATTCCATTAAACTCAATTTCTAATTCCCTCTGCTCTCTTTTCTTATTAATAACTAGTTAATTACCTACAGTAACCAATGGAACAGGATGAACAGGGAGCAAAACATCCCTAATAATCACAGCAATTCTCCACTTTACCCAGAAAGAATGAGTTTCATGTTGCCCAGTACTCACAACATGATGATCCAGTCAGTCCCTTCTATTTTTTATTCTCTATTTTTATTGTTTATTCTATTACAGTTGTCCCATATAATGTTACCTTTAAGAGATATAACATTAATAATATATCATAAGTAGTGAATAATGTCCTTAGAAAATCCATGTGTCATTAGATTGTAATGAAAAAAGTATCATTAGATTGTATTGAAACCACCACAGACTATATATATATATATATATATATATATATGTATAGACTATGACTATGTATGTGTGTATGACTATGTGTATATATATATATATATATATATATATATATATATATATATATATATATATATATATATATATATATATATATACACACACACATCAGAAGCCTATTATGGTGGGAACTGGGCATGAGGGATGAAAGAGAATTCCCAATTTTCTTTTCTTTTTTCCCCTATTTTCTTATTTTAATCATTGTTCAAGTACAGTTTTCTCCCTTTTACTCCTATGCCAGCCCACCCACCCAACCCTTCCCACTTCCGTCCCATTACCACCCTCCCCCTAGTTTTTGTCCATGTGTCCTTTAAATTTGAGGCAGTGAAAGACAAATACCATATGATCTCACCTTTAACAGGAACCTAAACAACAAAACAAAGAATCAAGCAAAATATAACCAAAGACCCTTCTATTATACTTTTTCATGGGTGCAATATTTCTGTTTAATGCCTGCTGCTTGGAATACTTGAGAGTTATAAAGTTTGTAGTTCTGAGTTTCTGTTGGCGGTCTCGTTGTCTTGTTGTCATGAACACCGACCTGCATGCAGGTCCTGGCTGTGCGCATCCAGCATGATGTCCAATCTGTCCAAATAAAATTATGAGTGAATGAAGGCTTTGGCTCCACGTTCTTAGTAGATTAAAAATATTCTGGATTTATCTTAATCATAGAAATAAATTTACAAGATTTTGATAAAAATACAATTGTCTTCTTTCGCATGGTTCATCAAATTATAAATTAATTTTGTTTCTTCTGAATTTAAATCTAAATATTTTCCTCTATAGTAGCTGCTGAGTAAAAATATTCTAGTATTTTGTTTTATTGTTCTATTGTTGAAAGTAAATAGGGTAAAAAACAGTTCTGATTGGATGATGCTGTTATAAAGTGACACAGTAACTCTAAATATAATTGAGATTTCATATGTATTTTCACCTCTTCTATAATAATCACCATTTATTTTGCTCATTTCAGAAACATTTTCACTATCATAATCTATAAAGCATTTTCTGAAGTATTTTAACGAAGCTAAACATTCAGGAAATAGGTGAAGGTAGGGATTTTTGCCTATCAATTAATTAGGTTGACTATTAATTAAAACACGGACATTGATATTTCACTCATTTTATCATAAAAGTTTAAATAATAACTATATTTAACTCATTTTATCATAAAAGTATAAATGTATAAATATATTTTACTCATTTTATAATAAAAGTATAAATATATAAATATAGTGATTATTTTCACAAAATGTAATGTAATAGTAAATAATAAGGAATAGTACTATATAAATAATAGTAATGTGTTCTTTTGGATGCATTTATTTGTGACAGGCACTTTCTAAGTACTCTGTATGTTTATTTAATCCTTACAACAACCATATGCTGTGATTATGCTCATTTTTTAGATGAGGAGATACAGATAAAATTCACCTAAGAAAATACAGGTAGTTAGTGAGGGAGCCAGTATGTATATACTCATTTTTACATGAAATATTGCATGATGTCAAAATAAATAAAATAAAATAAGCAGAAATAATCTGCTAGTAATCAGATGAAAAGAGCAGGCCCAGGTGCACACGGCATCTGGCTTGCTTCCCAAACCAAAGCCCACACCACCTGGCGCTTGAGAGCAATTTTTCCTGATAAAAATGTGACATTACTGCATGTCTACATATAAACCAATAGCCACATGTCATAGTTTATGTATTTACTGTTAAGCGTATATAATAAATGCAATCACTTTTGCATTTACTTATTTTAGTAATGTGAATGCTACATCTTTGGCCTTGGAAAAACATACCCAACTGGTAGGAATTGTGAATTTGGATTCTCCCTGTCTGCATGGAAATTTTGACATTCACTGGCTAAGGGAAGTAATGATAATACTTAGCCTTCCTGAGACTGCTTAGCTGTAAAACGTAGAGATTAGCCCCTTCCTCAAATATTTGTGTTATTTGTATGGGAAGACCCTAGAATTTTTCTAAGGTTGTAGTTACTGATGACAACAGCTATTTTAATACGTTTTCAGTCAGTTAGTAAATATTAACAATTATTAATGTTCAGTTTCAACATAGCATTAATGTTATATTTACTATGTTCCACTTATTTCAAAATTTCACTGTGTAATAGGTTCTATTCTTCAGATTATGTGCTTAGTTGTGTGACCCCTCACATGACCCACATATGTCAGAAATACCAGTGCACGCACAGGATCCCTTACCAAATTCAGAGCTTAGCTGCAGCTGACCATATTGAATTTGAGAGAGAAAATGTTAGCTACTTGGGATGTTTACATTATTATTGGTTATTTTAATTCCCATCTTATTAAATAACATTTTCCTTTTTCTAAAGTTATTTAGATCTATCAAGCTGTATTCCATGTAATGCAGATTTTCTAAATGTTTTGGATGACAAAATCATAAAAAAAACAAAATGTATGATAATCTTAAAAATTAATTCTTTTGAGATAGGAATATATTGTATGAAATAATCTTATAAAGTTGACTATACTCTAAGATGTAGACTACAGGGTAATTATATTGGATAAATATACCAGCTCATTTAGTTTAAATAGGTGACTAATGAGACAAACTCATAGGTTGAATTTCATTAAAGGTCAATCAGCTTTGCTTTGATCCAAGCAAACAGGCTGCATTCCAAACAGCATCTAGCTTCATCACAAATGAATGAAAATAATCATCACAAGAAATTATAAGACACTGAAGCATTTAGTCAAAATGCAACATCACAGCTAAGTAACGTCTTTTGAATCACAAATCAATACCATTAAAACAATACCATATATATATATTTACAAGTAAAGAGTAATAAATACATTTCAATTTCTTTTTTTAGTAGGATGCTCATAAAAGATGTACTCTGTAGTGTGATTTCACTAATAGATGCAGCACTCTTTATTATACATGATATGAAATGTAAACAACCCAGCCTTATAACCAAAGTCCACTCTGAACTGACATTCTACATTTCAGTCTCCTCTCACATTTTTCTATTATGTTCCCTTTATGACCATCCTTAAACAGGTGATATTTTTTGTGGCTTTACTTTTTCTTTGTCATTTTGTTTTGTCACTCTCCTTCCCTGCTCATACTATTTATTTTTTAATGTGTAGGCAATAAAATGATCATTAGTGACTACACCCTATTTATTCTAAAATTTATAGAATAATTATGTTAGATGAATATACAGACTCATTTAATTTAAATACTGTGTACACATGTATTATATATTTGATATCACTGGAGTGGTATTAAACTGTAGTCTAGTTTATATGTTTCTAGAAGTGGCCAGAGATTTTAGTATTAATTATTTGTTTGACATTCTAAGCATAGTAAAAATAATCACATTGTTTAAGAAAGTAATCAATGTCTTCCAACATCAACCTCTTTGCTTAAGGGTTAGTATTTATCCTCTACCATGGCTAATAAAATTAACTTTACCTTAAGATGAGACTAAACAGTTTGTATATACACAGTTTCTAAATATGCCTGATAATTTTTGCTAATTTGACATCTACCATAAGACTAATACTACAGTCCCTTGTAATTTACATGTTGACAATAAGAGCTGAATTATTTTAAATATCATTCATTAAATAGAGTAGATGGATAAAACATTAATTTACATGACTATGTAAAACACAGCTAGCTGATTTACAAAATAATTCTGTTGATGAACTTTGTTCAGGTTGGATAATATTAAACAACAGAATTTTCCTCAGTGCACTCATTGCAATAGAGTGAATTTATAAAGCATCCCGTGATGCTTATTAAGAAATAAGAAATTTTCCATCCTGACCATGTTCAAGCATAAGAATATGTCTGCTACGTAATGGGTGAATCATAATGCAATTTTATGGCTCAGAAGAAAATAAGAAAAACATTTTTTTAATGGAAGGCACTATTTTCTCATTCATTAAAATGAAAAAAAGGAACCAATAAATTATCTTTATGTTAATTCTCTGAAATTGGATTACAAAAAGTTAAAATATGTACTACCATTCTTACTTTATTTTATATATCTTTGTATCTTATATTTAGAAAATCAGAATTTTTGTGCAGGCCAAAGGCATAGGCTTTGTAGCAACATTACCTAGATTAAAATCATTATTTGGTTATGCAATTTTACAATGTCCTTGGATCTCAGACTTCTCAACGGTGATGTGTAGACAATAATAAAACAAATGTCATTTGGTTTGTGTTAATTAACAGATGCAAGAAAGGAGACTTGGTTTGGGGTGTTGAACACACAATAAAATATGCAGATGATGTATTATGGAATTGTACATCTGAAACCTATATATTTTTATTAACAAACTTACACCAAAAATTTCAATAAAAAAGAATGTAAGGGGAGCAGATTATAAGGTTGTTTGGAAACATATATTGAAATAGGAGCACTCTTTCATGACTAAGGGTTCAAAGTTGTATTAGTCTGCTGTTGCCAAAACAACCACATAATCTTAGTGGCATTCCATCATAAATATTTATTTCTCACTTTGAGATTTGGCCTTTATAGTCTGGAACCGGCTGGGCTTCCTCTAAGCCATGGGTTGAATCCAGATTCTCAACTTGTGTCTTTCATCTTCTTTGGACAAATAATTATTTAAGGCATCATTTTCTCATGGCTAAAGATATAAGTTCAAAAGACCAGGCCACAGTACACCCATATTTTAAGCCTTCACTCTCATCATGTTTAATAATACCCCAATGGCTAAAACAAGTCAAGTAGCCAAGCTCAATGTCCTAAGTATCTGAAAGGAAAAGAAGTATATTATTTGCCTATGACATGATGGTTACCTAGAAAACAATATATAGACAAAATATTAGAAAAGTTAAGTGGCAGTAGCAAGGTGGTTAGATACAAGCTGAGACTGGGTCCAACCTAAATGCCAGGGTCAGAACTGTTCCAGCATAGAGACCAGACTGGGTCAGTTTGGACTGGGTCAGATTTAGACACCAGACCAGGTCTGGGTCACGTTACAACTGATATAGAAGCAGACTAGATCAGGTTCGGACTGTGTCTGATTTAAGATATATTGGGTCCAGTGTGAGGCCTCAAGTGAATAGTCCTTTTGTGTAAAGGATGAATGAACAGTTTACCTTACCAAAGACAATCTAGAATTAGAGTGGTCATAGTGGACAACATTTAAAGCAGATAAGCTTATTTATTTATGAGATGCTCTAGAGAAAAGGGCTCATGGCCAAGCGCCCACCATGAAGAACATAGGAAAAATTCTATGTCCCCAGCTATGGGTTCTGGTAATGAGGAACATCCCACTTCCTGTGGAACCTACAGACCAGATCTTGGGAAAACTGGCAGAATAGAGTCATGAGTGAGTGAGGATTCTTACCCCAGTCAGCTCTTCCAGATCTCCATCAGTGGTGCCTAGTTAAAACACAGAAAAATAAAATTTCACATGGTCTCTTCCTTTCCAAATTCAGGTTGGTAAGCAAAAAAAAAAAAATATATATATATATATTATATATTTATATATTATATATATATATTTTAAAATATATATATTTTATAATATATATATATTAAGAATTAAATCTTTATTAAATCTTTGATGAAGGACTTGTGTATTTTTCTTTGACAACTATTGTCTTGTTGGCAACATCAGTTGGGGGCCCCCCAAATATTACCAGACAGAAATGTGGGTTCCACTCCATTTTCAGGTTGATGTGGCCAGACAGAAATATCTAATTACTATTATTATTTTATTGTTGTCTGCTTTAACTTGGTAAGATAACGTCTTCTTGTTTCCTTTCCAACAATATTTCTGTTTTCATAAATATTCTATAGGTCCTTTAACAAAATTAATATGCTTCAGTTGTTGGTGTTATATTTCAAGTGTAAAAATTTGATCAGAATTTTCATTCAGAATCACCCTTTCTTTATTCTTACAGATTTTCTGTTTGCTTATTCTACCAGGGACAGAGAAATAGGTTAGTATCTTCCATTATCATTACTAATTTGATTGTTTTCCCTTTTATTATTCACCCATTTTGCTTTACATATTTTGAGTTTATATTATTAGTTAATATACATTTGATACTTTCACATATGTCAGTCAATTACCCTGGTATCATTTTGAGATATGTTCTTATAGTAACAGTGTTCCCTTACATCCTATTTGTCTAACAATAATGTAGCAACATGAGCTTCTGATCAAGGTAGAGGCATAGGTAGACACACTTTGCTTACTGGCACAACCATAAGAAGGATTACAACTAATTGCAAAACCAAATACACTCAGAACTGCCAGAAATTTTAGGAAGTCTGACAACCAAGGATTTAAAGAAGACATATTCATCCAGACAGAAAGGAGGAGCAGAGATGGGGAGCCAGGGCAGAGAGGACATGGTGTGGCCGTGGTGAGGCTGAGGTGATGAGACAGTGGCAGCCAGCAGAATGGGCAGTCTCACATTAGAGATACCTGGGGAGTGAGTTCCAGGACAGACTGTGTGTCATCAAGGGAATAAAGAGTTATAACTTCTGGCTGTAAAAACTAGTGGGGGTTGGGGTGGTGGAAGAAACTGTCAGTCTCTCAGGAGAGTCTGTTTAAAGGATCTGCATGGTCCTAGATCATACACACACACACCCACTTTGGAAACTACCACCAGGTCAACAGCTAGAGGGGAGCCAGTAACATAAGGGACTGGGAGCAGGGCTAGTGCCAAACAAGTCCCCAGGAGTCAGGCAGTGGCATTGCCCTTTCTCTGATCCTTTCCCCCACATACAAAGCCACAAAGCTTTGAAGCGGGTTGTCCTGCCCTGTCAGTTACCTAGACAGGTGTGCCCAGACAGAGAGTCAAAGCAGCTTTATCTAATAAACACAGACAAACTCGGGGAGGCTGCCAAATTAAGGAGACAAATATATGGCTCAAGTGAAAAAAACAGAACAAAACTCCAGTAAAAGGACTCAGCAAAATGGAGATAGCTGACCTATTAGATGCAGAGTTTAAAACAGTGGTGATAAAGATACTTAGAGATTTCATTGAGTATGGCAAAAGTATAAGGGGAGAAATGAAGGCTGTACTAGGTGAAAAAAAGAAATATCTACAGGGAACCAACAGTGAAAGGAAGGAAGCAAGGATTCAAATCAATGATTTGGAACATAAGGAAGAAGTAAATATTCAATCAGAACAGAAAGAAGAAATAAGAATTCAAATAAATGAGAATAGGCTTAGGAACTTCTGGGGCAACTTTAAATTTACCAACATCTGAATCACAGGAGTGCCAGAAGGAGAAGGTGAGACATTTAAAACTTATTTGAAAAAATAATGAAAGAAAACTTCCTTTATTTGCCAAAGGAAATAGATATCTAAGTCCAGGAAGCACAGAGAATCCCAAACAAGTCTGACCCAAAAAGGACCACACTGAGACACATAATAATTAAAATACCAAAGGTGAGAGATAAAGAATCTCAAAAACAGCAAGAGAAAAGCAGAAAGTTACCTACAAAGAAGGTCTCATAAGACTATCAGCCTATTTCTCAAAAGAAACTTTGCAGGCAAGAAGGAACTAGCAAGAAGTATTTTTGTTTACAGTTCTTTTGAATAAATTTTATATGCAATGAAATATACAAATTTAAAGTATACAAATTATTTTAATAACAATCATTTACTTATTTATTTTTATACTGGTAGATAGTTGGGTTCTTTTTAGTTTAGCGTTTTATAAGTAAACCATTATAAAGGTCACTGTACAAATCTCTTTGTGGTCATCTCTCCTCATTTCTCTTGGACAAGTACCTGTACTTGGAATCTCTGGCTTAGAATATATGTATGTTAAAATTTATTTTTTAAATAGGATTGTGTAGACTCAAATAATTAGACCTTTGTACCTCACTCTTTCTCCTGTATAAGCACATGTATAAACACATAACACATATGTTCAAACAGACCTACAGACACAGGTTTTATAATGCATTGCTATCAACAAGACTTTCAAATGGAATGGTGTAATCCACCACAATTTTCTGTCTTTCCTGGAACTAAACATTATTGTGACTCACAAATATTAAATTTTATTTTAGGTCCCCTATTATCATGTTTATAACCTGATCTTATGTTTTCCTCTAGAGTAGAATAATACTGCTTTTTGAAAACTAAACTACTTTATTTGATATTTGTATATATCTTAGAAGTATAATGCTTTGATTTTTCATCATTTAAACATATTGATTTTTCTAATGATTTCCTGTCATCTCCCATTTCAGTTTCTAAACCACTCTTTCCTCCCTTATGACTTTCATTCTTACAGTGATTAATATGTCCATTATTAAAGATAGGGAGAGAAAACTTCTTCCCAGTAAGCATATTTTCTTTCAATATTGAATGTATTATTACTTTGAAGATTTCAGAGAGTATATATTAATAATTTATTTTTAGACAATCAACACCCAAAATGATTTGAGGTGGTCAAGACAAATAATTGTAACATGAAACAGGATTATTAATGATAAAAAACCCAACTAAAACAATAAGAAAGTACAAAGGAATGACTGCTATCAGCAATCTAGATCTTACTTTGTTATTAATTGTCTCTGGAGATTAAAGCAGAACTGGAGAGTATGAAGGTAATGTACCTAGTTAACAACAACAACAACAACAACAACAACAACAACAAACTGTCTACTAACAATGTCTTATTCATGGTGTAAGTGTTTGCTGTGCAGATATTAGGTGCGGGGTAAAGTGCCATGATGGTTTCATGCTTGGGATCTCAAGTGCAAATAGAATGATGTTCTTACTCAGTTCTCAATAGTTTTCAGTCAGACTTTGCCCTAAAGAGATTTAGCTCAGGGGTGAGCAATAAAGAGGGATATATACTGAGATAATAGGTTTCTTATAAAATTTGTTAGTGCCTCATCAATCACGTGGAGGGAATAAGAAACAACTTGAAAATACTCATAAAACTTACAAGTAACTGAAATCCTCATTAAAGATCACACTCTGTATTGGTAGATCCTCTTCCTTTAGCTTCAGAGCATCTTGATAGACCTGCTGAGAAATTTTTGCTACCATAAATGCAGTTGAACATTTGTTTTGTCATTGGGAAGAAGGTATTTGGGAATGCTGAAGTATGTACAGAATAATACTTCTTCAAGACAGAGCTTTGCATGGACAAAGTTTTATGAACTGCTGCTCCTGAGAAAAACAATCAATGGATTCATCTATATCTATATCTTAAAGTACTCCTGGTGATAGGTAGTACATATGTACATGTTTATCTAAAATAGGTTTTCTGAATTTAACAACTTGTGGGACATATCACAGAAAAAATATACTACTGTATTTTTTCAGACTATAAGACTCACTTTCCCCACTAAATTTGGGAGGAAAAGAGGGGTGGATCTTATAGTCCAAATGTAGCTTACCTAGTTTGTTGTGAGGGGTGGTGGTGGTGGAGTAGGGTCACAGGTCATCAAATATTTACCACATTTTTTGCCTCAAATTTTTTTTCCTATTTTCCTCCTCTAAAACCTAGGTGCATCTTATGGTCCGGTGCACCTTACAGTCCAAAAAATCATCACCAAAAGAATAAGCAAATTCAGCTAATTCAAGCAAAAACATTTAACTAATATTGTCACAGAATTTTGGAGTGAGGGTGGAAAAATGAACTTCAATTCTTCAATTCTTTAGTAACTAGCAAACATAGATGAACAATTCTAGATATATGAGTATTTGAAAGAAAAAAGCCAAAATTCGAATGAGAACCAACCCCCTCAAAAAAGGCATACAATATAGCACGGACATTGCACTCTCTTTTCCATTATCAGGATACAGTAGGGTCTAATAAATATTAGTTCCTTCTATTCTCTCATTACTTGCAATTCATCACAGAAAAGCTTGGGCACAGACGTTCTCTCCCCAAAATATTGCAAATGTAAAATCTCAGATAGACCTAGTGTAAATCCATATTGTTAAATAAAACCTATTCATCACTGCCCACATCCCGCATCCCCTACGGTAATGGCATTCAGTGAATATGTGAACAGAGACAGCACCCAGTGTATATTCAGCACTTTGCCTGTAGGTGATCTGATTTAAAACTCCATGTGTGGGAAGTTATATCACCTACAAAAGGGAAAAAGTAGAGTAGAAAGAAAACAATCCTTTATTCATGTCTAGTTTTCTATAAAGTAATTTTATACTAATGTGGTACTTCAATAGAAATATAAGAAAAGCAGGGGTAATTTAGATGAGAATGGAGTTTCCAAGTAGCCCTAAGTGATTTCTTGATGACAATTTAATATGACTTTGTACAAACAAGACATTTCAAAATTATGTTTCTAGAAGTTGAATCCAACTTCTGGTAAAATTGTAAAATAACTTAACCGAATTACTCCTTGACAAAGCACTACATTGTAAAAGGTTTGTAGAAGTGGGTGGGAAAATGGAAATACATAATTTACATAACCAGAATATCATATTGTAATGTAGTCTGAAATAAATAGGCTGTCTCAGAATTTTTAAAGCTAATCCTAAAAGTATTAACTCATAACTCTATAAATATCAGCTTTAAAATATTAGCTACAATAAGATCAGAGGTATAAATAACAAGATGTAAATAACTAAAATGTTTACTGTTATATGACTTTCAACAAGATATTTCAAAATCAGAAATAGCACTATAATTGGAGAAATAATTTCAGTTTTCTTAATCTATTTATGTATATAAACTCCACTACCTATAGATACTGAGTTATAAAATAAAGGAATCAAACTGGAGTGTCAGTGATCCCTAACATACCAATCTTTCAACCTCTCTCTCTTGTTTATTAGCTAAGAAGTTCTCATGTTGTTTCTTGAGTTATTCAAGTATTTTCCTAAGGTTCCATTTTCCTTACTTAATATCATATTGACAATGCAATTACATGGCAATTTATAAGGGAAAAAAGCAAAGCAGGAAAAATGATCATGATTTCAAGACATAAATATGGATATTCATGGGTAGATATATAATTATACATAATTGCAAATTACAATATATATTGAAGTGAATCTCACAATTTACTATCATCCCCTTTTATTTGATATTGCCATTGCTATCTAATGAACCAAAAGTGACTTTACTGTAGTTCTATTCACAAAGTTATGAAATAATTTTCAGAAACTGAGTGTAACTTGGATATACATCTTTATTATTTGTGACTAAGAAACATACTAATATTTTCACATCTTATAAATTTGTTTTTGTTAGTAACTGTTGTAGACACTTTGCAGTCAATGCAAATAAAACCATCATGATTTCAAATAAAGCTTTGGTTCTATAATTCCTGATTTGTATCACAATATATACATACATGCAAATATTTATGTTAAGCATGTAAATAAATACACAATTATATATGTATATACATACTAACATAACTATTTACATTTGTGTGTATTTAAAAATAACTGACTCTATAAACACACATATGAATGCATATACAACAGTAAAACATTATTAAATAGTTTAAGTCAATCAAATGAGGTGGCAAGAAGAAAAGAGTGGCAGCTACTGTTATCTGTAACAATGATAACATTACTACTTACAATAATTTATAAGTAAAATCATTTATTAATAAATATTATCAACAATATGATACATTTTAATCAGTTTATTAAATGGTTCCTCATGCATATCATCAGTTTCCTAGGAACCAATCATTAACATGTTAAAAATGTATCTGTTGAACAGAAATATTAAATAGTTATTTAGGCATAGTTGAGACATACTTAATATAGTCTAAATATTGTCCTCATATAACAAGGTTTACTAAATGAATGAACAGATTAACAGAAAAAAATAACTACCTTCCATACAGATGGTATAATTTTAAAAGCAAACTTAATATTCTTTAAAATTCCATGAATTTAAATATATTGTTACTGTTTGCATTAGCATGTGTTTCTAGTAAGTACTAACATCTACACAAAAATCACTTATTTGTTCTACAGTCAGTTTCGTAGAAGAGGGTGGAGGGCCATCATTCTGTGGGCTAGAATTTATGTCAATGTCATATCTCAAGTAATCACCTTTCCACCTCTCAAATGTAGTATGCACTATTTAATATGTATTTTCTATATCATTTTCCCAGTATGTGATAGTTAAACTTTAATGGCATATACAATGAAACCTATGATTGCGCATCACCTTCTACCTTCTGTTTGGATAAACAGGTGACCAACAGCCAGACATTGTCTCCCTCAGGACCCCTGCTCCTGCTATCAATGCACCATTTAATTGTGATAAAATGCACTTCATAAAATACATATCTTTAAAATAATAAAAATATTGAAATGCATATTATATATAAATTTAATTTTACATGGTATATAAGAACATATTAATATACACAGTATCTGGCAGAAATAACACCTGTGTGAGGGTGGTTGGTAGGGTAATAATAAGGGTATAAAAATTTATAGTGTTAATTTGAATATTTCCCCTAAAATGTCATAGGGTGTGCTTGAGTGTGATATCATTGTTACAGAATTACATGCTTATGCTTTTGTAATAAAAAGGTGTGTTATTTGTGTCTGACCCTATATATCAATCACCACAATTGTACAAAGTCCTTATTTCAAATGCGAGAAACATGAGTGTCCATAAGGAAAATAAGGAAAGTATCACCATTAAAAGTCCCTCTATTTCAGTTACTTACAAATATTTGTTAAGTGAATAAATAAATAAATGCATGTTTAAAAATTCAGAAGAATATTCCCTATTAGATTTAAACCCCACTGGAGTTTAAAAGGAAACGTTTCTCTTTTTTAACTCAGTGAAGAACACTTGTTAACACTTGATAGGATTTTTGGAATAATCAAATTTGATTTAGAATTTTTAATCTGCTACTATTCAATATGTCTGTAAATTAATGACACTGAGTATTCAAAAGAAAAACAATTGAATCTACAAAACAAAATAACCAAACAGGCAGAGGAGAAATAGAATCATAGATACAGAGAATGTTTTGATGGTTGCTGTAAGGGAGCGGGGTTAGGGGATAGGCCAGAAAGGTGAAGGGATTAAGAAGTATAAGCTGGTAGTTTCAGAATAGTCATGGGGGTGTCAAATACAGCATAGGAAAATGAGTAGCCAAAGAAAACATATACATGCCCTATGGACACAGACAACAGTGTGGGGATTGCCTGAGCGAGGGGGGTGGTGCTGGGTGGAGGGGGGCAAAGGGGGAAAATTGGGACAACTGTAATAGCATAATCAATAAAATATGATTTAAAAATATTTGAATAAAAAATATACTTTTAATATATAGAAGTAACAAAATTCACAATACCTGGCATAATTCCCTAAAAGAAATACTGACATGTAATGAATGACCAATAAATATTTGTTAATTCTAACCATTCCCTTTACAAGTTATACATTTGTGTCACTGGTAATGCTATTTTAAAAAGGTTTTGTCATTTCTCTTTGAAATTATTATTAGAACTATATTCTCCAGATTTGATTTCTTTGATTACATGACTATTTACAGAATGCAAAAATAGTTTACTACTATCATATAGTGTCATGAGAAATTCTTATCTGGAAGTATAATTTGTTGTGTTTTATATGTCAAAATCATTAAGGCAAGTTGACCAGATTTGAGATAAGTTATTGAATTTTCTACAAAATTTTACAAATATTTGGAGGCATATTGCAATGGGATGCAGAATATAAATCCCCTAAAAATAGGAAAACCGCCCCCACAGCAGTTGATTGGAGGAAGGGGGAGTGGATGATACGGCATTTAAGATACACTACTTAACAAAGGCAAGTTAATAACCATGCTTTCCTGAAAGGATGAGGGCTGCAGCCCAGGGTGAGTTGTATATGTAACTGAAAACATTCAGGGACTTATGACATAGCCCGGGAGTTTATACAGAGCCTGCGTGAGAGGCAGGGGCATATGCTCATCCCAGAAGTTGCTGGGAACTTTTGCCCTGACTAAAGATGGCAGCCAAGAGAAGGTGAAAGATAATAACATGTCATAGGAGGGGCTGGTTATGAG